TTGCCTGAAGTAGTGAGGTTCAGGGTGGTTCCTCATGCCCAGGCCCTCCCTGCTGCTCCCAGCACTGTCCCCATGCAATGCCAACCCCCTCTGCCAACTGGGGCTTTGCCACGTGCCCGTGGTTCATCTGCTGCCAGGGTCTCAGGAGGGCTCCTCACTCCTGCAGGGATTATCACTTATGGTCATTCATGCTGTGCCATGGACAGCGAGCCTTGGAAGAATAGTGACTCCAGTTTGAATTCCTCTGGGCAATCTGAAGTTTATTTCTGCAAATTCTTAAGTGGCAGCTTTCAGCTTTAGCAGCCAGCCCCTAAGGACCACTTGTGGTTCATCACCACGGATGCAGCTGGGGGAGATGGAGGCCACCCCACTGGGGACCACCCTAAACCAGCAGGCACTGCCCCCACCCCAGGCACACACTCTGTGACCATCAGGGTTGGACAAGAGAGAGGGGACCACAAAAGGCAGTGGCAAACAGAAAGCAGTTCCCTGTGAAAAAGGGTATTCAAAGGGAAAATAACCACTAAACTGGAGTGCACCCCAAGCACCCAGCAGTTCTCTGGCCCCAGCCTGCACCAGGAGGAGGGGTGTTCAGAGTTAGAGGAATTCCTGCCCCCCTGCTCCACACAGGAGCAAGGGCTGGGGCAGCAGCAGGTGCACAGATGTGTACATGGGGGGCCAGTGCCTGCCCCCCAGCCCCTCCTGCCTGCCCAGGGCAGCCAGGACAGCACAGCCCCACCAAGTGCCCAACTCTGCCAGCAGGGACTGTGCAGCAGGAGCTGAACTCCCACCCCAGCCATCCTCCAGTACCCCCAGATACTCAGGGTTTTTTGGCCTTATCTTAGATCCCTCTCTGCAAATCACTTCCAGGGGCAGCACAGGAGGATCAGGAGAAGGACAGTCCCCAGTGGAGGGCCCAGGGCTGGGAACAGCTGTGGCTGCTGGGGTCAGGGGGAGCATGTCAGCACGCAAGGGTGAAGCACGCATGGGAGCTACCAGGGCCAAAAGCAAACAGGCTCCTCCGTATCAGCTCCTTCCTCCCCTGCTCCCTGGCAGCCTGCCTGACCCAGCCAGAGCTCTGTGCACAGCAGCAGAGTGCAGGCACCTTTTTTTTTTTTTTAAATTTTTTTCTATTTTCAAAGCACTTGGCAAGAAGAGCAGGCAGGCAGCAAAGCCCCGTTAACTTCCCTGGGAAGGGTTCAGCTAATCCTACCAGCTTCTGGTACTTACATCCCTCCCAGGGACTCGCTGCCGCAGGCACAGAGGGGCAGGGCAGGTCCTGGAAGAAGATTGGGGTCCTGAACTTCTGTACCCTATCACAGCCCAGGTCTGACAGCAGACTTTGGAACACCCCCAGCTCAAGAGCAGCTCTGCTCCAGCTCCCTGGCTCTGCCATTCCAGGGCTGAGCCTGCATGTTTTTCTTCTGCTTTTCATTACTCAGCAGAGACTGTGGCCAATTAATGCCAAGAACATCCAAGCAACAGAGTCCAGAGGCTTCACCTCCTGCCAGTAGGAAACTCTGACGACTCGGAGCTGGCAGGACGGGCAGCGTGGGCTGCAGACTTCAGC